CATTTAAACAAAAGGGGCGGGGGGCTGATATCGCTGTGGATGGAACTAAAAAATCCAGGCCTGTTTGATGTTATAAGTCAATTTGGTTAAAAGCTCTAATAGACAATTTTGCACATTATCCTTTGAAATAGCGTTTTACTGAAAGGGAATATCTAAAAAAAAAACTCCAGGTGCATTTTTAATTGGAGAGCAATGTTTCAATACGGTGCAGCTCAAGCTCAAAACATCTGATTGTAAGCAACAGTTGAACAAGAGTGTTGGCAATACATTCTTAAGTGAGTGTTTTGACAAATGTACCACTTTTTTGGCTGGCGTGCTAAATCAGGTTTGCATGTGTTCTCTCTGCTCGCTTTGTGTAAATGTGAGAATTCACAAGTAAAACATGATTTTCATAAACAAATGTGCACCCGCCCAAGGTGAGTCGCGCTCGACCTTGTCTCAGAGCCTCGGCTTGGTGCCAACAGGATCTGACAAGTGAGCCGACAGAGAGCAGTCTTTAAGGTAGACTGGTTTAAATAAAACATCCATCATTACTTTTGATTTTGTCATTTAAGCACGATTGAGATTATTTACACCGTTTCAGAATGTTAAAGCCAACATTTAGTGGTAGACAAGATTTAGAAATAAATCCAAGATGATTGAAGTCTAACTAATTTAGAGGAAATTCTTTTGTTTTGAGAAGACCAACCAGTGATTTGTTCTTGGTGTGTTTGCAGAAATTTGTTTCAGATTTTTTCCCAATTTAATATTATACTTTCACAAACACAAACCAGAGGAAATGTTCAATCAACTCCTAAAGAACAACACTATAATTTTACTTGGCCCATAAGGAGTGAAATTAAAGGGTTATGTTTTTGATGACGATTAAACATTTGTCAATTTTATAACTCTTGACATTGAAATTTCAGCAATTGGAACATGCAAACAGTTCATCAAAAAAAAAAAAAAAAAAAATTGTTTACACACAATTTGTTCAATTATTCCCTGAAATACACAGCCTCAATGCTTGGGAAACATCACTCTCCATGCCCTCCACATAAATCCATTGTTGTTCTCAACCAGCCCCCCATTTATAATAACCGAAGCACAACTTTCTAAACATAAATTTTACATTATTTATTTTCCTCTGTTTTATTCTTTGCCATCCAAGCTATTCCATCATTTATTTTCAGACCAAATATTAGTCGTGAGGGGCGACAGGGGTTGGCTATAAATCACTGGAGCCACTGCTGCACATGGTGTGGCAAGAAATGCACTGACTGTTAATTAGAATCGATCACAAATTCCCCGTATATAGCGCTGATTGCTGTGACGGGACGAGATTGACGCCACTGTGATTTGTGCCACAAGCCGAACGCGACTAGAATTATTTTGCGCTAATTAGCCATTGCATATTTCACACACACACACACACACACATGTACACACAGAAGAGGTTGGATACCTGGGTATGCGTGGTAGTAAAGAGGTGCCGGTGCAAGAGGGAAAACCAGTGTGTCAAAGTAGGCAGGATGAATGCAGATTAAGAAGTTGAAGTAAAAACCGGGTGATTTTATCTGACTGGCTAATCTAATCCAAGAAGGCAATCCAAGTCAAACATTGCAGGCAAAGACAAGATACCCATGTGCATACTACAGGGTAATAGGCCGACAAAGATATTATCAACTAATCATGAAACATGGAATAGTATTTTATGTATTCAAATTAAATTATGAACACACAGCCATTTGAATATATGGAGAATGAAGAGTAGATCATACTTTGCTTTTTTAACTTTTATTATTTGGGCTCGAGGCTTATGTACTTGAAAAAAATATAACATATAAATTGCTCGTAACATTTGAGTAAAATATTCTTATCAGATTGGGAGGCAGACCTTGCAACTGCAAAAGTAACCCTTATATAACACATTGCTCAATTGGACTTCGCACTTAACTAATGGAAGACGAGTGAAACAGTGCAGAAATGAACAGCCTTAAATAAGGTGATTGGCAGGTGAGCAACATAACGTACGACACAGCGACGTCATCAAAGCGCGCTGTGTCTACCATGTCGGCTAATAAACACGGTTGCTATTAATACATTTCAAATATTAAGGGCTGTCTAATATTCGTTTCGTAATATATCAATATCTTTTAATTTTACGAATTATATTGGAATTTGGAAGTCAAAGCCCTAGAGTGTTTTACCAGCGCTGTAGAGGCTGGAGGACGCAAGGCTGTTTGCGCTGCTCGCTTCTGTGAGTGGAGGAGAGCTAGTGGCCCACATAAGGTCTCTACTCCAGCCACTTTTTATCAGCCTGAATTCATACACAAGCTGAATCTATGAGCTCAAGTTTCAATGAAATTACGGAATTATAATACAAGGGATAGTATTTCGAGATAAACTCTGCAGGATAAAACTCCCAGTTCTTGCTCCCAGTTCTTGCTCTAGCCTTATCCCCCCTTTAATATTCTTTCAAATGTGATACATTGACCAACGCCATGACTTTGGTGTTCTCATTAACAGAATGTTGTGTCCAAACATTCGCACCTTCAGACTTATTTTGGCTGTAGTAAGGTTTGGATGTGTTAAGGGAATTGTCTGGCACAAGGAACATTTTGACGTTTTCTTTTTCATACCAAGAAAGACATGTATTGTATCATTATGAAATAGGATCATTCTTTGTCATTGTTAATGCGTTTTAACCACAGTCTTCCCTGACCAAAACCACAAAGACAATAAGACAAGACTTCCTTCATTTATTTCATTTTCATTTCATTTATGTGATTCAAAGGTAGGTGGCGTTTTCCACATCTACTGCGTGGAGATCCTACCGTGTTTTCCACAGTAGGAATCCACAAGTCTTTCCCTCACACACACCACATGGTGTGTGGAGGGACACCAGCAGAGGTGAGGAATTGAACCCACGACCTTCAGACCTGAAAGCCAGTGCTCTACCCAACTGAGCTACTGTTTGCGCGTTATATTGCTGGGCTTAGTAGTTTAAAAGTTTAAACAATTCCACACGTGCAATTCATAGCCCACATTTTGAGGTCTCGATCTTGAGTTCCAAATCGATTCAATAGAATAAAATAAAATTTCTATCGCAATGCATGTTCAAAATCCTTAAACCCAAGCTTGCAATAGGCAGAGCTCAAACTCCACCATCACTAACGTCAGCAAATGGTCTTACGACATCTACCTCATATTCATCCAAGCACCCGGACCGAACCTCACTGATCCAGAGTCAGAGATGAGAGTGGTCCAGTCCTGCTTTTTATTTTTATTATTCGCTATAACGTGCGCATCCCAAGAGTCCTGCGTACATCTGCTTGCTCTTTGCAAAAATGATCAGCACTGACTTCAGGACAGCTACTAAAGCAACCGGGATAAAGTCCGGATTCTTAATGAGCTCCCAAGACAGCATGAGGCTTTTAAGGCCTTAAAACTTGTCAGCACAACATACTTACTGTAGTTTATAAATTTAGAATGAGGCGTAGCGTTCCAATGCATTCCATGAGCAATATTCCTCTGCAGCACTCGTCTTAGAGGTCAACAAAATTCAACAGTCATATTTAATCTTAAACAATATAAGTAATACATACTTCCACAATCAATCTAGGATTTTTAAAATGAAATGTGCGCGTTGAAGATCAGCGACCACCCTCACTCATGCTAATACAGCTCTTCAGAAACCAATACAGCGCATACAAATAGTGACCTCTGCCTCTTCTCTTGCAAAGTCGGATCCAAAAGATGACTCCATTTGCCTTCCTTTAACACAAGTATGAAGACAGTAGGTTGGTCTCTAACTGAGGGTATCCAAGATGTTTATATTTCTAAAAATGTCGTTCTGCTTGGAGCAAACCAAATGCATTGTTTGTGGATGGAAAATCTCTGGTAAACTCACCCTAGCTTTAAGTAGTGTAATAATATAATATAGACTTAAGCATAAAACCGTTTATCAGAAAACAAAAACCACTAGAACCAAATAGACAATCAACACCTATCTTCTTAAGCTTCAACAAACGAAATACCTGCACAAAGTCTTGAGAGACCACATTCCACTCAGCCTTACCGATCCCACCGCCGGACTACAATGTGTTGTCCAAATCCATCAACCTGCGCTGCAAGTATATTTCCAGTAACAAACTAGTTATATTGAGATATGGAAGTCAACGGCTTTAGAAGAAAAGCTCCGGTTCCTGTTGGGAGGTGACAAGTGCCCATTTCTATTGCTACATAACCGCAATTCGAGTCTCTCTGAATCTGTCATCTTTGGGCTAGGCTCCCCAAGGCGATTCGCAGCGCACCATAGCCAACAAAGACTTCCTCATTTTTTTTTTTTATAGTCGGAGGGCCAAGTCTGTTTCGCCTACAGAGGGCCTCCCAGAAAGACTCATCACCGTTTGACTCTCCTCCAACTAGGGGATGTAGTGTACAAATTATGTATAATCGATTTTTCACTCTGAGGCAGCCAGGCCAACGACTGTGAAAGGTTGAGAAAAACATTCTGAGTTCTTTAATGAGCTGGAATGCATGGCGATGTTTAGCAATATGACTAATATTGATTGTTGAGATATGAATTGGAAATATGGGAAGCGAGGATTGAATGCGAAAAAAGTTAAAAATTGAAATTATTTAGCCTGGGGTTAGAAGGTTCCCCAATACCTGCTTTTTCTGTTTGCCAAATTTACCAGAAAGAAGATATGGAGAAAATTTTCATAGACGTCACCACTTAAAACGTCAACGTGCATATTCGAATACATAACATATAAAAATTTTACTAGGATGATTGTGATATCAAGATATACTACCAAATAGTTTAGATGCGTTGTAGCGAGATTGGATAGAAGTGAAGTCGCTATTTCGTCCGGTTTTATTATTGGGATAGAAGTCTAATTATTGTCTACATTTGCAAAGAATCTAAAAGGAGGGCAGAAAATAAAAATTGACTTAGACTCAGAAAACGAAGTTTTTAAAACTCACAACCTTACAAATCCAAGTAAGATCAGAAAATGGGCTTAAGGTGATGATAATGGTATCATTATAAATAGGTGTTTAGATGAAAAAGATAATAAATGTTATTTTAAATTTAAGTGTAATGATGGATAAAAGCTAAAAATCCTTCCTGATATCATGGAGACAGGGACTCCGTCTCTGACTATGTGTAAAAACAAGGTTATAATAATGTGCTGTTTTGATGTGGCATAAACTAGGGATTTATATTTTTATTTCATGTTTGAAGGGTTCTGTGATTATTTATATTGGTATATTGATATATGTATAGAACTTGGAGGTGGCCTTGTGTATGAATTTGTGATATACAACATAATTGACTTGGGAATGAATTGAATGAAATTTTTAATGTACAGATATTTACATTGATATAGTTCAACTTATTATGGATGTAACTTAGGAACCGGTTTTACATGATTTACAGGTTTAATATTGGAAGGTAGAGGATGTCTTGTTTAGGTAAGGGGGATTTGGGGTTTACTGTTATAGTTAATTTTTTATTTAGTGGGGGTTGAGGGTGGTCGATTAGATTGAAATGTGGGGAGTTTTTGTAAAGGTATGGGTAGGAGATAATGGTCGAGTTGTTTGATGGTTTAAGGGTTGTTTTGGTGGTTATTGTAATATCTCATGTTGGGTTTGAATGTTTTTACATTTGTTATTCATATTGGGGGGTTGTTTATACTGGTGAGTACATTGTTGACACAAGGTTAGGGGGTTTAATGAGGTGATGGGGGGGATGTTTTATGTTGGGGGGAGCGGGGGTGTTATGTGGGATTATTGGTTGGAAGAAGGGATGTGGTAATTGTATAGATGTTGGGTTAAGTTGGACGGTGGAGGGAAGGGATTTAAGAGATAGGGTGTTGAAATTTGTGGGTTTTTTACTTGGTTTTGTGTTGTAAGGAGGTGGGGGGGGGGGAGATATTTGAAGATATGGGGTATTAAGTGTTAATTGCTGATTGTATGGGGGATTGGGGGATGGGGGGGGGATGTTGGGGTTGGATGAGAGGTGGTTTGAATATGGGGTGTTATGGGATGAATGGTATGATTGAAAATTTGGGATGTTTGGGGGTGGTTTTTGGGGGTTTAGATGGTTGTAGGGGGTTTTTGATATTGGGATAGATGAGGGATTGTTTGCTATGGAAAATGGGGGTTGGTTGGGTGGTGGGTATGTTATGGTTTCATAAAAAGTTGGGGAATTGATGTGTAATTGAAGGTATATGTGGAAGGGTTATTGTTGATATTTTTATTATGTAAAAGAGGGAGGAAGGAATGTGTGGTTATTGGGGATTGGGGGAGATAGAAGTATTGGTTGGGGGGGGGTGATGTGAGTAGGGGGTGGGGTAGTGGGTTTTGGTAGTGTTGTTATTGTAGGATTTCGGAGTGTGAATAGGAGTTAGAGATTTGAAAGTTTTGGGGTATGGGGTTTGTTTTGAAAAAGAAAAGGTAGGGGGGGGGGAGTTTTTTTATTATATATTATGTTGGGGGGGTGGTGGTATGGGTGGTGGGTGTGTTTAAAGGAGGAATGAGAATGACATTTGAGGGTGGGTAGATATGGGATATGGGATGGAATTGAATGGTTATTTTAATGGGTATGGTATTTGATTTGTGTAGGAAGGGGGGTGTAGGAAGGAAGGGGGTATATAATGGTTTGGGTGTGTGGGTGGAGGGGGTGTTGGGAGGGAAATTTGGGGTATATTGGTTGATTTGGGGGGTAGGGAGAAGTGTTTGGGTGTGTTTTTGATGGGTGGGGTTTGTGGGTGTAGGGAAGGGGAGTTGGAGGGGTGTTGGGGGTGGGATTGGGGGGTATTTGAGTGGTGAGTAGGTGGAGTAGTGGGTGAAGGGATGGTAGTAAGGGGTGGGGGGGAATGAATGAATGAATGGTGGTGGTTAGGGAATTGACAGAATTTGGGGAATGTAAAAGGGGGGTGGGGAGGGATGGTGATTGTTAATAGAGTGGGAGAATGAATTGGGGGAATTTAATTGGGGGGGGGGGGGGGGGGATGATAAGGTAAATTTTGGTAAATGAAGGGGTGGGTGGGGGATGGGGAAAGGTGGATGAATAGGAGGTTTGTGGGGATGGATTGGGGTGAGGAGAGGGGTAGTTATCTTCTTGGGTCTAAATTATAGCGACAAGAAAAAAGTGGGGGATGACAAACAAAACCAAAACTCCAAATATAACAATGTTGATAGAATAACAAGGAACATGAAGCCGCACCTCAGTCGTCTACCTCAAAGTCGCGAAACGGGGTATGGGTCAACGAAGGTCCCCCCGTGCGATTCCCCTGTGTCTATATCACAAATACAGATTCATCAGTAATCCTCTGGGGATATAGAAAGCACGTCTGCAGATATTTCCTCTGGGTGGGTCCTAGACTCAAGGGGGGGGCTCATAAGTACAGGACAGGTCCTATTTGTCTAAATCTATAGGAAACCTATCATAAAACGAGGCTTACAAGAACAAGAACAACGAAACACTCCAGGGTGGGAAATAACAAACAAACAAAGCCCTGCGCTGCGAAGGACTCCTTTCGCTTGGAGGCTAGTACGAGTAGGCCATTCTACAGTCCTCCCGGGTCTAAAAAAGAAGATGTAGAACAAAAACAAAAAGTAAACTCCCACACTAAACTAAACAAATACAATGACTAAGGTGGAGCCAGGGCCACAAGCTAGACAGTAGCCTATCAGTTAGACTAATTCATAATACCCCAGTTATCCGTTGCTACGAACACGAGCCTCGCATACATGATCCTCCCTTGATCAGCCCCCTAGGTCTATAAAAGTCCAAATCGCATGAAAAAAAATCTAACTAATAATATCTAAAGAAAACAGCCTGCCCTTCGTGCGGCCCCCCCCCACCCTCTGCAGAGGTCCTGGGCCCCTTGTGTACAACAGGCTGCAATCCTAGGGTTCCTAAGCAGGGCCTCCCAGCCAGGTCCCACTCTGGCTGGGTCTAGTATAAGGAAATATGTACAAGAACGTGCCTACCCAGTCCTGGGGTCTGACAAGTTAGTAAAGAAAACTATAATTGACACAAAAAGTAAAAAACACAGCACCCACGCGGGGAAGAGTAGCATGAGGGGAGCCATACGGAAAGAGGAGAAACGTAGCAGAAAGAAGGAGCTCGGATGCCGACGAGATCCCTGGATCACAGCCAATAAAACTTGCCAAACAGGACGGCATTTCCAAGGCTCACTATTCCCTCAGAGTCCAACTCACCCTTCTTCCTCTAGGAGACACTCTGCCTTACCAATATTGACTGGGTCTAACCAAGTAAAAACAGCCTCGAAAGCCGACAAAGTAAAGTGTCTAAGAGAGACCTTGACAGTCCACGGCAGTCATTCAGTGGGTCCTTAACATAGGGGCTCAGTGTACCTCGCCTGCACCTGTGCCTACCAACAAGCCTGAGCCAGTGCAAAGACAGCGACCACTCTTGCTCTCTACTGCCTCTCATATTGCCTCTGCTACACCCCTCTAGGGTCGGTATAAATAGACAAATGAACAAAAGGCACAAGGGAGAAAAACAAAACAGAAAGCAGGCCATTCATAAGTACGTTACTGAGGCTAGGGGTGGTCATATATATTGCCTCAGCCTGAGTGTTTCTTGAGGCAGGGTGGCCCCACTGTATTTTCCCTCCGACCATCCTGGTTCTAGCAAAAAAGCACAGGCATCAGTCCTGGGATAACAGAGGAAGCGTGACTCCCCCCCTCAGTCCTTGGTCTGAAAATAACCAGCAGGGTACAGGGGCTACTCAAGTCCCTCCAGCCTGTGGTCTAAATTCCTACAAACCTTAAGCCATCCCTCTCAAGCCTGTGGTCTAACATAGAGTGGGGAGGGGCCACGAACCGACAAAGTCCCTGTGTCTAAAAACAATATCCCAAAAACAAAATCAAAAGAGATACCCTAATAACACAGAAATGAAATCGAAACACCAATAAAAAACCAAAATAAAACCTGAAAAATATAAACAAGGCCTACCGCGAAACAAACAGTAGATACAGCACCGGCCCATTTGGCAGGGACAATAAGCCTGCACAGTCCTGGGCTAAAAACAGTGGGAGGCCCTATGTTAGTCCGTGTGTCAAGGGTTCCCCCTCGGGTCCTAAACAATGAACTAGTAAAATAAAAATCAAAATGAGGAGTCTAAAAAACACCCAATAACAGGAGGAAACAGTCAGAACCAGCCCTACAGTCCTTGGTCCTTACTAAAGAAATATAGAAAATAAGAAAAAGAAAAAAAATAAAGCAGTAAACAAGGCCCCCCTCGGAGAACGAGTCAGGAAGCGCACGAGTCCTCTCCTGAGGTACCCCCCACCTTCCAACAGGCAAATAGGTGGAGCACCCAGAGTAGAGTTAAAAAAAAAACCAGGGGCAAAAACAGAATAACAAGGAAGGGAAGATAGGAAGGAAGAGAGGGAAGAACAGGCGAGAATGAGACGTCGAGAATAGTAATGCAGTATCCTGGATACTACTAGAAGAAATCATGCCCTCAGTAGGGGTCACTAATGGTCTATCAAACCGCCTCTCCGGGTCACAAGAAAGCCATGGTTCTAGAGCCCGGGTACAGGTCCACAGCTGAGGTCCTCACAAAAACACGGGTCACTATTGGCTTCCATGAGGTGCCTAACAAAGAAACATCCTAGATAGTCCCTCCTTTCTGTCGGGGAAGCTTTGGGGGGGGTGGTAGTGGGGGGGTGAAGGGGCACGGGGGGCTGGTCCGGAAGGGGGGAAGGAGGCGGGGAAGAGGTGAAAGCAAGGAGACGGAGAGGCGGGGCAAAGGGAGGGGGTGGAGAATAGCGATCGAAGGAGGGATTAAAAGAGCTTGGCAACCACTCTGGGGTGCTACAGCCTGCCTCAGCATTCCCGTACCGGGTCTCGGGTAGTGAGGCCCTAACAAAAGTTCGTCTTTCCTCTTGGGTCTAATCAGACTCAGTTCCTGTGATAACATACAGCCGCACAGTCCTGTGGGTCTAAAAACAGGGGCTCGAGGATCCCCCATGTGTCCTAAGAAAAAAAGCAACAAGGAGGCCGCTCACCATACCAGAGGTCACTTGTCTGAGGACTATGAGCCCTCAAGCAGTCCTGGGGTCTACAAAGCCTTCACGCCCCTGGGTCTATATAGCCTACAGGTCCCGGGTCCATGCAATGACCACAAGGAGCGGGCACAAAAATGTCCTGGGTCTAAAAAGAATGTCATAGAGAAAAGAGAAACCACAAGTCCTCATGTCATATCCTCCCCCTCAGTGTTCTAAATAAACAGAGGCCCATCAGCTAGAAGAAGTCTAGTCCTGGTCAAAAAAACCCAGACAAGTCCACAGTCCCTGATTCTAAACAGGCCTTCAGGTTCCATCCTGATTCGGAGGTGTGACGCAACCGGCCTCCCTTGGACTAACTAGAGCCGCCAGTCGGAGAGAAAGCCGAAAGGTTCAACAAGATAAGGGAATCAACGAGGGGGCCTCATATAGATAGGCCAAAACGATTACCACTGGGGTCTAACAAATTAAAATGAGGCCGGGAGAGCCGATCACTACCAGGGAGATACCCTGGTGCGCTGATAAATAAAGCAGGGCCAACCTCGAGAAAGCCGAGGACAGGTCCTTGGCCAAGCTAAGAGTTGGGGTCCTAAAACAAAAAACAAAACCCCCCCCCAAAGAGGCCTATGCCTCTCACGAAGGATATACTTATGTACGTTAATGTTGGGACTAGACAGCCACAGTCCGTTGGGTCAGCCCCAGGGCTCGATGAAGAGCCAGAGTCCCCTGTGGGATAGTGGAAACTCATCCCCTCAGTCTCTCAGGTGTCCCTTTAAACAGGCCTCAGATTCCCCTGGTGTACTACCTGTACAAGGCCCTCTGCTAACGCAAGTATGAATCCGTGCACGGGACTCGCCCCGCCGGATTAGCGCGCCCCGTCCTCTTCGCACGTCCTAGGCGGGGAGTAGGGTGGGGGTGGTATCTAAGTATAAGCCTCCATACCTGTGAGTCCCAAACACAAGTGCACAGACTCAAACAACGACCCACACACAAAGCCCAACGGGAGTTCGAGCCGTAAACGAGCGCTCAGGTTCTTAAGGCCTCAGGATAAAATTTCCACTGGTGGTCTACAGGGACGTGCCCCGAGCTAAATTAGGGTAGGAGGTCACTGGGATCCTCACAGAGAGAAAAGAAAAAAGTAGCGCGACAACGCGATAAGAAGGCCTCATTCCCTGGGTCTGAATCTCCAATACTAAAACACGTACAAGGGTCAAAAAGGGGTCAATCCTGGGAGCCTAATACCTCTCGTCCTGGGGGGTTTCTACAAGCACCACGTCAGTTCAGGAAAGCTAACAAAGATAGCAGCCATATCATCCGCGCTGGCGGGGACTACAGCCACAGCCGGATATGGAGGGTGTTCTAAAGAGCCCCTACCCAGGGAAAATCTGAAAGAGAGGAATCTGCACCAGTGTGGGGGGTCTACAGGCATCAGTCCCCATCCGCCCCCCGTCCCCCCTGATCCCCTAACAAGGCCCGTCAGGTCCTAGGTCCTAACAGGCCTCATGTTCGTACGGGTACTATATACTCAAGAGCCTGGCATCAGACCATTTCCACAAGGGGAGTCAAGACAGCTCATGTCCTAGGGGATTTACCAAGCCCCTCCAGTCCTGATCCTCTCTGGGTCTACAGGGCTGTCTAAATCAGGTCACAGTGTCTTAAACGAAGAGCCACACAATCCCCTGGGTCTTAATACATGTAGACCTCAGTACCCACCTGGGTCTAATCGAGGGCCGGAAACACAGCCAACAGCCGATCCGGGGGCCGAGACCGCCACCGACTCAGGCACAGATCGAGCAGTCAAGCACTCACCGACACCCCACTCTCTCGACCCCTGGGTCTAATAGCTCAAGATGCTCCCCTTTCCTGTGTCTCTGACACGCAATTACATGGGCTTCACGGCCGCTCCCCTTGGTCTGTACAACAGGCCGTCAGATCGTGTCGCCCTAGCTCCTGGGTCTAAACAAGTGAGTGTGCGCCATAGATACCTTAGCCTCTCGATCCAAAGTTCCCTGTGGTCTACAAAGCCTCAGTACTCCCCCTGGAACTACTTACACAAGACCATCAGTCCTCGTTCTATCTGCCTCTGGGTCTAACATCCTCCAAGGAAGCCGATGGGTCAAGAGTGGGCCTCAGGCCTCCGGGGTCCCTCTGGTCTCCTATGACGAGGCTCCACGGACCTGGTCCATCTGTGCCTAAAACATGGCCTCAGTTATATTTCCTGGTACAACAGCCTCCAGTCATATCGTGAAATTAACATATAAGAACCAATCGAACGAACACACCGTGGTGGTCGAGAGCCTCAGGCAGTACATTCTTCCCTCTCCATCGTTAAATAAAAAGATTAGGTAGAAACACTACGTAACGGGTCTAACAGAGGCCACAGTCGCTGATACAGAAGCCCCAACTAAGTTGCCCTGGGTCTAACAAGCCCAATTCCGCTATTGTTTCCTACCCAGCCTCATCCCTGGGTCCTGAGAGCCATCAGTCCTGTGTGGTGTCTTGTGACCCGCTAAAAACTAACCCCAGAGCTCCCAAACCCAACACCAGCACGAACTCTCTTAAGACAACCACCCCCGACCCACCCCGCTGCTACCCCTATAACGCCCCCATGAGCATAAGACAAATATACTGGGAACCGCCGTGCCCACCAACTCCCTAACTCCCAAACGGACACCCCACGCCCGCCCTTCAAAGGCCCTACCTCAAAAAGCCAGAGGGGGGGACCCCTCGGGTGTCTTATAGCCACATTCCTGGGTCTACTACAGGCTCGTCAGTCCTCGTTCTCATCAAGAATACAAGCCAACTGATAATTGCCAGTCCATGGCGTCACTAACAGCCTCAGTACCTTCAGGGATCCTAGAAATCACTGCCGTCAATTCCAGTTATCTAACAAGCCTCAGATCCTGGTCTACAGCCTCATCCCGTGATACCTATTGGTTCCTCAGAGATCCTCAGCAGGTTGCCCGGGTCCCTGACAACCAGCCAACAGGCACAAGTCAACAGTTACTGAGCCAACACCTCGCAAGTCCTAGGACTCTTCGGGATCAACTTGCCTCCATGTCGTGGTTCTACAGAGCCGTCAGTCCTGAATGGGGTCTACAGGCAACGCTCAGTCCTGGAGAACCAGCCACAGTGACTCCCTTGGATACAATTCATAACAGGAGGCCCAGATCACGCCAGCTGTGTCTAACACCCCCATTAACCCTAACACAGAGCCAACTTTCAGTCACACTGGGTCTAGAGGCCTCATCAGACATCATCCTGGGTTCTACAGCCTCACTTACATGCCCTGGGACCTGGAAAGACTAGCCTTCGGACAGTCCCTGGGTCCTAAACAGCGCCTCAGACTCCAGTCGATCTACCAAATCAGCCCTCATGTCCCTGGGACGACCATCAGGTGGGGGGCGCGGGCGGTCGACCCTCCGCAGAAACAACGCCAGTGCTCTCTGACCCCCTCGTACAACAAGATCCCGCCCCACCGGCAACACCATACCACACCCCCCCTAACCCGGTGTGACCCAACCACACTGACTTACCTATCCCCACCCCCCCTGCACCCCCCTCAAGAGATGCAGCCGAACCGAATCCGACGGGGGCGCACCCACCCCTCCGTACACCCAGCCCACTACCCCGGGCAAGGCCCCGAACCTGAGCCCTCCAAACCGGCCCAACATCGCCCACACCCTCGCCGCCGGCCCGCGCCCCGCATAAACAACCAATCGCACGCACAGCCTCCCGTCCCACCCAATGGCAACCCGCCGCCACCCCGCCAGGCGCAACCCCCCAGTGACCCCCAGAATACGACCGCCCGCACCGACCCCGCGCTCATCCACTCCGCCCCCATCAGAAAGAAGCCCCAACTACGACCCCCGATTACCCGTCACCGCAACTCAGTACGGCCCCCACCCGACCCCGACGCCGCCCTGGAACTCCCTCTCAAGGACCAGGACCGCCCCCGGCACGCCCCCCCGTCACCCCGTCGACGGCTCCCATGCTCCCCGACCGCCACCGTCCCAGGAACCCATCACACCGCCGTATCCAGATAGCCCATCCTCGACACAAATCGCAGGGCCGCCCCACCCCGCCCACCCCCAAACCACCCCGACCCCCCCCAACCACACGCAAGCTACCGTTCACCCAGCCCCACCCCGCGGACGACACCCACCACCCCGCACTCTCCCACTCGGCGTCCATGTTGGGCCCCCGCAGCGGCCACGCCGCGCTAACCCACCCGAGGCTCTACCCCACTGACCTCGCCCCCCTAGCGCGAGCCGAAGCTCTCAGAACCCGCCGCGACGCGCCTGCCCCAGATAACCAGGAGTGGCTCCCAGCCTTCAGGTCACAACCTTGCCCCTAGCTGGGGACTAGTAAGCCAAAACGAGCAAGGTCCACAGTCCAAGGGATCTACACTCAAACAGAGAAGCCTCATGGCGGGACCCGAGGCTGTGTCTAAGGCCTCCAGCCCAGCATGGGGTCTAGCGCTCCACAGAGTTCCTTGTTGCTACAGGCTCAAGTCCTATCAGCTCTGTGTCCCTAACCTAAACCAACATACGCCTCATTAATCCCTGTGGGGGTCTACAGCCTCATTACCGTAGTGGGTCTAGAGCCGTCAGTCATGTCATCTTTTGTCCCCTGGGTCAACCTACAGAAGGCCTCAGTCCCTGGGTGATATCATTAAGAGGACCAACAGGGCCTCAGATCCTGTGTGACTACACAGTGACTGCATTCCCACTCGTTCTACAGCTCCTGGCGAGTCCTCGCGGTCAGAGTAGCCTCTAGACTACTGGGTCTACAAGCCTGGACAGCCCTGGGTCCTATAGCCGTAATTTCCCTTGGGTCCCGAGGCTCAGTCCTAGGGGGCTACAGCCATCAGGGTCCCTGGGTCTTCAATACAGAAACGAGCCTCAACAGTTCCTGGGTCTACAGCCCCTCCATCCGCTAGTATCTCAAAACAACCACAACAAGCCTCAAATCCTCTCCAGGGTCCTAAATCTAGACACGTGCCGCAAGAACAGCCCCAAGGGTCTAATCTATATATAATAAAGGGTCTAACTAATAATAGAAAAATTAAATGGGTCTTATAAGATAAAAGGAGGCCTCTTTCTCAGCAATTACAGAAGTTAATCCCTTGGTGCTCTACACACAGTGACTCAGTCCTGTGCCTACAGCCCAGTCCTAGAGGTTCTACAAACTAAAATAACGCAGCCTCAGCATTCCTGGGGTTCTAGATAGAAGCCCAAAAACAAGTTCCAGCTCCTCCTTGGGTCAACATACCATTGGCTCCCGTCCCAGGGATAAAGCAGGCCGCAGTATTCCTCGGGTCTCCCGGCTCAGATCCTTGTGTCTGACGAGCCTCATTCCTGGGACTAAAGCCTCAAGAGTCCTAAAAAGGTCTAACCAGCCTCAGACCCTGGGTCTATTAAGCCTCAGTCCAGGGTTCTAACCCAGGCTCAGTCCTTCTTTTTGGGGTCTGAAAAAAAACATAAACACAAGCCTCAGTCCCTGTGTCTATACACCATAAGTGGCCAAGACCTCTCCGGGACAACCCAGTAAGTCCTCCGTGTCGTGGTTCTTTAAACCACAGAACAAGAAAGCCTCAGTCCCCAGTGTGATCTAACAGCGCTCTTAGTCCCTGGGGCTCTATATAACCCACCCAGCCCTTCAGCCAATGGGCTCTCCTAGAGCCCCATCCCCTACTTAGTCCCTGGGTCTATTAACAGGAGGGCTCCACATCCGGATCCTTAGTGCCTAACAGCCCCTCTCCGGCAGCCACTGGAGAGCACGACCAACGGATCCTGGGTGTCTATTGGAATAATACCAACAAACCTAGGTTGATGAAGAATCGAGAGGGGTGCCTCTAGTCCCGTAGGGTCTAGGGGAGATGCCTCAGTCCTGGGTCTACAGGCTCAGTCCTGGGATACGCCGTCCCAGTCCCTCGCCAGTTACTCCACAGCGGTCTCATCCAGAGGAATGCTTCCATCCTAGTGTCCTAAAACTAACAGGAAAACTAGCACTCGACGTGCATCAACGTACCCCCACCTCCTGCCGGGACTAGTCCAGTAGCCTCAGTCCTGGTTCACAAAAGCCGTTATCTATCGATGCCCTGGTCCCTATAGCCTCAGTTCCCTCTGGTTTCTACAGGCTCAGGTCCTTGGTCAAAAGACAAACAAAAAAAAAAACATCCTCATTTCCACGTTGTTCCACAAGCCCGTAGCCTCTCTAGCCGCAAGCTAAAGACTTTTCCCACCGCGACACAACACTGCTATGGGGTCTCACAAAGCCTCAAACACTGGATCTACAGCCTCACAGTCCCCCTCTGGTTCTTGGGTCTTAAAAAGTACCCGCAAAAGTAGCCCCTCAGCCCAAAGGAAATTTTAACCGGGTTCTACCAGAGGAGGGGAAGAGGAGGGCTAGAGGAAGTGGAGGAGGGGGGAGAGAAAGAGCGAGACAGGGGGGGACAAAACAGAAGAGGAGCGAAGGGACTAAGGAAGGCCTCAACAGTCCCCCTGGTCTAAATAGCTAAAAAAAGCTAAAGATAAAAGTACAATTAAAACACGGGCTCTAGGGGACCCTGTGCCTACCCCTTACCTAAAGCCTCAGGGGTCCTCGACGCACTCCTGAAAAGGGTCTAGCAGCCACAGTCGTATTTGGGTCCCTAGGTTAGTAAGGCCTCAAGTCCTGGGTCTAGACACAAACATCAACCAGTCCCTGTTATATGAAAATCAC